TGCTTCAAGCCCGAGTCTCCCTCTGAACGGATACGTTCCTCAAAGGCAAGGTTCTGAGACATCAGCTGCTTGGCGAGTACTGCGAGGTTCTGCTTATTTTGCTCCATTTCAACATAGTTATTGACGTGGTCTAAAATGCCAACATTGTCAAAGCGATTGCAATTTGCCCGACATCTTCTTGACTCAATTATATTGACGTGATCATGATATATACTATCAACATTACATTTTGAATAAAATTAATTGTCACCTTGCGCGGTGAACTTCTCGATATACTTCGAAATATTATTTTGTCAATACCTCATTGAATATACTAATATCTCAACAATTTAGGAAAGAGAAACAAAATAGGAAATCACAAGTATACCACTGGCGGATCAGGGGGGGGGGGCAGTAAAAAAAATTGGGCTCAAAAAAATTTTAGCCAAAAAAAGCCTTACGCCCCTAAAAAGTGGGCCTCTTTGGTCATAAATGGGCCTTCTTAGGCCTTATCTAAAGCCAAATTTTGAAGAAAATGGGCCTCAAAATTTCAAAATTTAGGCCCACTTTTTGGTTTTAGGGGCACAAAATTAGGGGCGGAAGTTTTTTTCTCAGATCCCAAGTTTGCCCCCCCCCCTTGTTGGTTCCCAGATCCGCCCCTGTATACTTTGTTTGCCTCTTTCGAATTTTACCTATGTTTCCTTTACATATCCAGATACGCAGCTCTCCACACGGCTTTCTATCCGTATTATAGATGGACGTGTCTCCAAAACGGTGTTTCCAGTTTGTAATTATATAGCACAATTCTGGATACTCCGGATGTTTTTCTATAATATATATGACGTACATATTTAGAGTTCATCGATTTATCATTAAAGAATATAGTTACCCGACACCCGACCATAGTCTCCCGACCCTAGTCAAGAAAAAATGATGAAGCATATCAGAGGATATAACATTCTGAATTATTTACTCTGTTTATTATGTTATGTTCCAAAAGCTACGTTGGTATGGTGTACACAAATATATCTAAAACACTTACGTCCTCGCCATTTATCAATCCAAAATCCATTGAGGTGATCCATCTTCAGAGTATTGTTGATATAAATGCCAAGCTGAACAAGTTCTTCTTGTGACTCCAAACTTATCAGTTCTGTGCCCATCTCCTTGCAGATCTCCATAGCATCATTGTTGGTCTGTCTAAAGTGATGAGAAACCTGTACCACAAGATAACAGCTGCCATTGTAGTAGTTTCCCCAGTCTCCAAGACATTCTTTACTTACTACAGCACTCTTGCTAGACACACCTTTTTAGGAATGCAATGCATATTATGGCAGTGTCTAACAACTGTCTCTAAGGAATCCGAATCGTTTCCGAAATTTGAAGTGGAGGAAACGCTCAAAAGTATTTTTCAAAATAAATTTTCTTTTAGATCCGAGTATTCGAGCGCTTGGCCGTTTATGAATTTTATTTCAGTTTTTTTTATTACAGCCCTGTCGATTTTTCCGAAGGAGGAAACGCTCAAAATGATTTTTCTGTAATCCGAGTATCACGGCGCCTAGTCATTTCGTAAATATAGACTTATCCAGTTTTTACATCATGGCCTATATTTAAACATTTACATCAGAAACCATAAATATGAATTTGTGCCAAGTATTGAGCCTCTGACATGACCTACCTGCATTAGCTACCACAACAAGTAGGAACAGAAAAGGAAGAACTCCGCAAATGCGTACCCCCGACATGGCTCTTCTTTGTTGGTGTATTAACAGGGGGTGTGTGTTCAACAATAATAAAATTGACATTCTCTTGTCATCATTATATAGTGACACGTGTGAGATACGATAACAAATACTTGTTTTATCTACCTGTTCAGATTAAGTCAAAATAACATTAAAAGATGATGTTTCGAGTTTGATGCTCTTAATGGGCCAACCTTCAAAACACGACAGCTCCAATGTATACAATCAAACCTAACACTAGAATATCTAACAATCATGTTTCAGTTAGAAGCAACTGTGCGCAGATAGAGAATGCCTAAGTATTTTCGACTTTGAGACAGGGAAGATGCACACAACCCACCAACATGTTTTTCTGAAATGTTGTCCTGATTTTCAACCCAATTGCGCTTCTTTTTTCAATTTTTGTTGCATTTTGACACACAATTAAGCTCTTTAAAGAAACAAGTAATTCCTTCGATCAGGGGTTTTAAGATATCCATTATGGATGACAAAAATTAGCTGAAAGTAATGGATCGCATGAGTTTTCCAAATGGGAAAATAACATGGGAAATATTGTTTTCCACTTTATCTAAGAGGAATTACTTAAATGGGTTAACTGTCTAAAATCGCAACATATTGATGGGACAAAAATTGGGAAATCAGGGGTGGAAGGGGTTGAAAATCAGGACAACACTACTGAAAAACATGTGGGTGATTGTTTGCATCTCCCCTGTGTCAAAGTGAAAATTATTTTATCATCTCTATGAGTGCTTTTCCTGGAAGAAATGCTTGGCCAAACATATTCACCTATTTAATTCTCAGAAAATAGCCAAAATCCAACATAATATGACTGTCCGAAATGTGTTGCGATACTTCCCCCCTCCATTCGAATGTTGGCGCATTTACTGAACCTGACTGCATGATATTATTGTCCATACAACCTTTTGACTAAGAATGTGTTTCTGAAAGTGATAATTGGGTCATGCAGGTGTCTAAACGATATCTTAAAACAAATGCTGTGATGAAGAGATCGGTCAAGTGCAACACTCCAAGGATTTTACAGGAGTAAAGAAGCAGAGGCCATAGACTCTCCAGCACGATCTCAGATAAGTCATACATGACACAAAGTTAAAATATAGGTTTCATAAGATCTCTAAGTGTAATTGTTTATCAACTAATCAACTATTTTACTACTACTAATACTACTACTTTACTACTACTACAATAAAAATGTTATATATATTTCAAATTTCATAAAGTTAAGTCTCTTAGTGTAGTATTTTAAAGTATATTTCACAATTTTGCTTCATATGCATATTTGTTGTTTTAAAGTAAATATACTGTGTGTAAAATACAAAGTTTATAATCCTATGATTCCTAAGTTAATTGCACCAGCGGAAGTTCTTAATGAGTGATGGGGGGGGGGGGTAAAAAGTGGTCATACGTCTTAAAATCCTTATTTTATCAAATATTTGCCATTGCCTGATGACAGCTTGTTTCATTGGGAGTATAGTTATGTATAATTTGAAAATTCATCTCGTAATATCCTTGCTTAATTACTGAAAGGGTATAACAAAATATGAACTCGGATTTTATAATGAGAGTTATGATTATTATGGAATAAAAAGCTTATTTCCTGGTCGGAATTAACTATTCATTTATTCCACGTGACAATATGATATTTCCCTCTTGGGCCCTCGGGAAATATCATATTATCCTTTGGAATCAAACTCATTGAATCCCTCCCAGTAAATAAATCATTGATTAGTGCTTTGCATTCTTCTTCGGATAATCTTTATTAAATACGTTTATCATTAACTAAACGACAGAATTATATCTGATGTAAATCAAATACAAATTGGTCAATAAATGAGCCAAGCGTTTCGAAATGTAGAAATTCTGTCTTGTATCGAAACTGTTAATAATTATTACATTACCAGTCCTGATAAAGTTGATTCCATGGCAAGTAAAGGGAGCGCAACAATAGGGAGTTTAAGCGTGCAATGTTTTCCACAACCTACTAAACGTGAACGGAAAATATTTAAGCGATGCATTTGTATGAGCAATTGGTCAAACGTATAGGTTGGCGTTTCGACTTCATATGCGAGCTTAAACTCCCTATTATATGCACGTATGTGCCACAACTTCCCATCGATCTTATCAAAGCTTTTAAGGCTTTGGAATACACTACATTAAGTACATCTCAGTTTAAGAGTCTGCCTGAATTTTTAGGTATTGATGAGATTACAATTATGATTTTAGCATGCGCATTTAAACACAGGGAAACATTTTCTAAAAGCCTATAAGCCATTTTTGTTTATTGAGATTCACATTCTAGCTTTCTTGGTAGCGAAACAAGCCAAGTGGGGCGCTATGTTGTATGTCGAAGCCATGAGTCGATGTTCAAGACATGTGGGGTCCCTGTGTTATTCATTTGCGATTATGTACTCATTGAAGTCAAAACTGTTATGTTAACACTTGCCATCTAACCCCCCATATCACACCAAACTAGTTCTTATACCGTTCTTGCCAGTCCTACGAAAACGTCGTAAAACGGGCTCAATCTGGCTGTGGTCGGGAAATATGTCTGAAATAATCAGCTTCTTCGTTCTTAAACAGTCTTTAATACGTCCATCTCGTTCGCAGTTCGTTCAGGTCGCACCACGTCGGCGTGCAACGTAGTAGAACGCGTCCCTTAGTCTAGAAGGTCAACATGACCTGATTACAGAACGGTATGGTCGCCATCGAATTTTGAATCGATTCAAAGTTCTAAAATCACATTCCCGTCTGAGAACGATCATAAAGTTCGTAAATAGACCTTAGAAAGTTGCAGCTACTTCATTCCGTTCGCACACAGTTTGAAACCAGTTTTGAAGAACGCAGTGGGAACTTGTTTGGTGTGATAGCTATATTTTTGCTAATTCGTTCATAAGCAGTGTTGAATACGTTCTTAATCAGTTTAAACCCGTTTGCAATTAGTTCTACCTCGTTCTCAACACGTCCTCAGACAGTTCAACTCGTTGTTAAAACGTCCTTAGTAGGATTGAAGTACGACGGTTCCGTTCGTAGTACGTCCAGCTCGTCGTTAGTACGTTGTCACTCGTTCTAATTGTAGAACGTGACGACCACGAAAACATTTTGAGCATTGTCTAAGTTCTAGAGGACCTACCCGTCCGAGTACGTTCGATGACGTTTGTAAATAGATCCCAAACGGTTCTTAGTAGGTCCACTCCGTTCGTACACAGTTGAAGCCCGTTTTCGAGAACGTAGTGAGAACTAGTTTGGTGTGATAGTAGGGTTAGGAGAGTAACATCTTATTCTGCCTTCTCATTGTAGGCGTATAATTACCCCCCTAACACACCAAACTAGTTCTTACCCGTTCTTGCCAGTCCTACGAAAACGTCGTAAAACGGGCTCAATCTGGCTGTGGTCGGGAAATATGTATAAACTAATTGGCTACTTCGTTCATAAACAGTCTTCAATACATCCACCTCATTCGCAGTTCGTTCAGGTCGCACCACGTCGGTGTGCAACGTCGTATAACGCGTCTTTTATTCTAGAAGGTCATCATGGCCTGATTACAGAACGGTATGGTTGCCATCGAATTTCGAATCGATTCAAAATTCTAAATCACATTCCCCGTCAGGGAAAATCCATGAAGTTCGTAAACAGACCGTAGAACGTTGTAGCTACGTTCATTCCATTCGCACACAGTTTAAAACCAGTTTTGAAGAACGCAGTGGCTACTTGCTTGGTGTGATAGCTATATTTTTGCTAACTCGTTGATAAATACGTTCTTAATCAGTTTTAACCCGATTGCGTAAGTTCTACCTCGTTCTCAATACGTCTTCAGACAGTTAAACTCGTTGTAAACACGTCCCTAGTAGGATTGAAGTACGACGGTTCCGTTCATAGTACGTCCAGCTCGTCGTTAGTAGGTTGTCACTCGTTCTAATTCTAGAACGTGACGACCAAGAGAATATTTTGAGCATGTTCTAGAGGACCTACCCGTTCGAGTACGTTCGATGAAGTTTGTAAATAGACCCCAAACGGTTCTAAGTACGTTCAGTCCGTTCGTACACAGTTGAAGCCTGTTTTCGAGAACGTAGTGAGAACTAGTTTGGTTTGATAGTACCCAGCTAGTTCATAGTAGTCCCGTTTTTACAATATCATATTGTTAGGCTGAGCCAATTACATTTTTATACAATTCAGTATAAAATCATGTAAAAGTATGTCAATGTTATGCACTTTCATTATCTAAATATACTACATAGACTGTGGGACTTGTATTCATAACATGAACAATGTATATCATGCGAGCTTTAAAAAGAGAACATTAAGTTTTGCCCTGGGGTCTAGCCAGCCATTAAAATATATCCTTGTATTCCATTGAATACGTGTGCTGATTCGCATTCAACTCACATTTAACTTTTTCAAAGTCGCATGAAACTTTTGCTTCACGTAATTGTATATTTCATAATTTTCTTTCAATCTCATCTTCACATATTCAATTACCATCTTTGATGAAGGTCGCTTCTTTTTTGAATCGTTTACACTGTTCAATTTTGTTGAAGCTTTGAATTTTCCAATTCCTAGAAAAAAGGACGGTAGTATTCGCTCCATTGCTTTCAGTGTAAGTCCAAATTCTTCCGTAAGTCCAACAAGCATGTGATACTTATCTATATTGTGCTTGGCTTTTTGAAGTCCATATGCCATATTAGTTGAACAGTTTGGTTCATGGCCACAGAACCATATAACATATTGTTTGACTGGGTCAACAAAACACTGTCTATCTACTGCTTTCGTATCTTTTATGTTTTGTTGAATGCATTCCTCAAAGGTTCGATTCTTGTGACTCCTAAACAATTTTGTTAGTTCTTCAGGTTTTCTTTTTGCGTAAGTGTAATAGTAAACCGATAATCGTTGTTCAAAAGGTTCCCTTATTATGTTGAAGTAGATTGGCTGCTTGAAACCAAAGTCCTCAAAATTGACAAAATGGATATGACGATCAAATACACATTTATGTGATTTGCAATTACTATTATTAGGATTATGCAAAGACCGCGCAAAATCAATTATGTCTTTTTTATCACTAAGTTGTCTTTTTCCATATATTGTTGAATGCTTCATTCTAAACTTGCCTTGAAGTTGACTAAGTCTTCCCAGAAAAGTATGCATTGTCGAAGAACCACATTTCGGCATTCTGTTATACAGTACTATGTTCTGATCTGCTTTCCCATATAAGGAAAATGGAGATGGTACCGCCTTTACATCCATATCAAATCTAAGATATTTGTTGATAATTTTGTCTTTGCCAGATTGTTCCATAAATACGTACACGTATATACAGATACATCCTAAGAGCGGTCCAAATAGAAATGCATATTTTCTTTTAAGTAACCTCATTTTTCTTATTAGCTATGAAAACATATATTATCGTCATTCGTTTTGTACATGTATCTGTTGCTCTGTAATCAGCTAGTTGCTCTCTGTGGACTTAAAGTCTTTCTCTTGTAATGTGTTGGTCTTTATGAGCGTGTAGTATATTTCTCTTGTAACCGACTCGATGATACTTTCATCCATTTTTTACTTGAATACTTGACTGATATAAACTTACAATGGGGCACCCAATGGTGAAAATCAACATTGTGGTATTTTAAGTGACAAATAAATTGATTATTTTGCAGCATGTTTCATCGTTAATGGCACAATATGAAATTATATCAATTAAATACTATTTATGGTACCCTTGGAAAGCCATATCAGTTTGCAGGGCGGTAAGTCTTGTCTACCTATTTTCAAGCAAACTATAATTGAGATTTATTCGAATTTCAGGGATGCTCTGAGTATAAAAATTAATACTAATTTGTCAGAGACATGTCCCTAAATAATCGTCTGCAAAAACGTTTGTTATTGGATTTTATTTTCTTAAATTTTAAATTTTAACCAGGTGACCTGTTTAGGGTCTGGAAAGGTGAACCTATTGAATAGTGCATATTACATTGATCTAATGGTTAAAACAGTTATCAAACAAACAGAAATGTAAAAACTCTAAATGTAAATCTATATGTAACAATATGTACAAATGTAAATAATCTGTTACAGTGAATTGTCTGTAAGTATATGTAATGTTTAAATCTTCACCTATGTGGAGGAAATAAAGACACTGAACTGAACTGAAATATGTCATTTCTAATACTTAAAACATAAAAATATTTAAGAACACATTTTAATGTTATAAGAATTAAATCATGATAATTAGTTTGACAGCGAGCCCAGACTGTTTTGTTGGTGTTTTAGAACATATTTGAAAACTTTGATTTAAAAATGGATTTCGTCCTATTTTCACAGCAGACATTCCGATGTTGGAATACCAGATTTAAAAAAAACTTACAGATAATTTCAAAACCTCAAGCGTAAAACTTAGCGTAATATCCTTATGCAGATGTATTTCTATTCCTGTAATATTATGTAGATATGTTAATGTAAAACAAAAAGTGTAAATGTACTCACAATATGCACTTGTGGTAATAGAAGATACAATACAATTAACCAAAGAGGATTTATGAAAATAATATAAAAAACTACATCCGATCTCTTGTCCTTCAGGCAGAATCAGATCGATATGGAGTGACAAAAGTACAAGGAGCATGTCCAATTGACCTACAAATATATTCCTTTCACATCTCAAACATACATCTTTCAAAAGACATGCGATATGTTATGAATTGGTGAAGTTAATGAGGATTAAAAGTGCAAAAATGAGGAGAAAATGTTTAATTCTCCCAAATGATAAAAATGATGACTATATTTATAGATAATAGCTGAGACCATCCATTAAATAAAGTGTGCAATTCGGGGATTCTCTAAATTAGACATGATAAGGAATGACATGAGTGAAACAAAAATTTTCTAAAATTGAAATAATGAGGCACCAAAAGGCGTTGTTATCCAAATCTAGGAACTCTTTCATTATTCTTGCTAACTTTTAAACTTCGTTCGTTGAATATTAAAATGTCCAACCTTTCCTCCAAATATTTTAAAATAAAATAAATTCACTAAATTCACTTTTATGGTGATCGGATGAACCTTAAAGAGCCTCTTCTGAATGGTAATTCGATATTGTGATGACCAGCAACTTGCTTTCACGCAATTCACACAGGCGAATCCGAAAATTTGCTGTTTTCAAAGGCTGAAATAATCATTTCAATAAACATTTCAATTCATTTTCGAATGGGATGAATAATTTGATTAATATATTTGATCAATTAAACGAACTTTCATGAACAAGTTAATGAAATAATATTTAAGGGAAAATATCATTTCGACTTCTAACTGGAATGGTATGATTTTTACCGTGTAGAATTCCACCATTTGATATGCAAATGAGGTATAATGTTGAGTTTGTAGATTTATGAAAGGTTTCGTTTACCAATGAATGAACAAAGTAAAAAGGCATTTATATGTCACGGCGTTGATCTCGAAAGGGGGCTATGCATACCCTTTGAAATGCTGAACACGTTTTAAATATGTCTTTATTTTACTCAGGTCAAACAGTCAACTTTTGTTTTTTGTAGTTAGACAGTGTAGATCTCATAGGCCCGGGAACATGTGTAAAAAATATATCGATTCTTTTTATACATGTTCCTGGACCTCTGGTAGATCTACTTGTATTGGTTATTCACAACCCATCTCTTTTTTAACAAATGACCATTCCACGAAAAAGATTAGAGATTCTATATGTAATACATTAAATTAAAATGGGTTGAACTTTGTTAGATTTGAATCTTAGATGTTTTTCTTTTTATTTTCCCATTTTCGGGTTTTATATTGTTTTTCTCTCCTTATACGTTTGTATTGTGTATAAAGGGTTGATGGAATTTAAACGTTAACTTAGATAAGCGTTTACTTATATATTTGAAAATAAAACATTTTATCCAGTTCCTTAAACACAAAACTAAATTTATATACCAGATCCTGTTATTGAAAGTATCTTTAGTTTAAATGTAATGCATTTTCACTATTCATTCATATCAACTCACGAAAAATAGATTCGTTTAATATATGTTTTTAAATTAAATCAAACAACGAGAAATACGAAAATATAAACAAATGGCATTTCAAATTGAAAATGATGTGAATAATGGCCTCGCGTGATATCCCAGCTAAATAGCTGGTTAAGACTATGAAGAATTAAATTCAAAACGAAAGTCGCAATCTTATAATATTGATATCGTTTGTAGATATTTGAAATACATATGTCACTTGTAATGTACGCAAAATCCAGCCAAATACAGGGTGGTCCAAAAAATGGGATACTCGTATTTCAAAAATAAATATTGATTTCCTTGATGAAAACATGTCATATTATATACCACTGGATAGGGAATTTACTTATCTTTAGTTTGGTATATCATAAGTTCAAATTTATTATAATGTCTGTCAACCAGCGTCCATAATATAAATGACGTCATTTTCATTTCAAAACGGGTTTTCCAAAACTTGCAAAAACAAGTTTTATTGTCAACTTTACATAAACAGACGTTCAATATGTCCACCATTTTGATTAATTGTACCCCTCAATTTTGGCCCAAACTAAGACAGGCCAATAGCATCATTGATATGCTGTTAAGACAATGACTTTCACTTCTCATTAATTCAATTCTGTCCTCAAGAGACGGAATAGATGTAAAGGATTCATGGTACACCAATACGTGTTAGTTCTTGCCATACGTGGTAGTCGCAGACGTTGGGTGATCGTGTGATCTGGGGGAGGCAGTGATTAGGGGAAGGATTTAGGCACATTTTCCTTTAAACATGTGACACTCTTGTGAGATCTATTGCTTGGCGCCCCATCTTGTTGAAAAATATAATGATTCGAGAATGACCTCATATCAGAATGGTCTAAAAACAACATAATTGGATAATGCGATGTCAACGTCCGCGACTATCACATATTGGGAGAACTAACAGAATTGATTTACCGTGAACCCATTACATCTACTCAGTCCCTTATTAAGGATAGACTTGTTGAGAAGTGGAATTCATTGTCTCAACAGAATTTCAATGATGTTTTTGACCAGTTAAGGCCAGAATTGAGGGCTATAATTGATCAAAATGGTGGACATATTGAACGTCTGTTTGTGTACATAAAGTTGACAAAAAACTTGTTTTTTACAAGTTTTGGAAAACCCGTTTTGAAACTAAAATGACATAATTTATATAACGGACGCTGGTTGACAGACATTATAATAAATTTGAACTTATGATATACCAAATTAAAGATAAGTAAATTCCTTATCCACTGGTATATAGTATGACATGTTTTCATCAAGAAAATCAATATTTATTTTTGAAATACAAGTGTCCCATTTTTTGGACCACCCTGTATATCAACGATGTATGGATTACTTTTTTAAATGTATACACCATTATCATTTAGCAAAATTGCTTCATTAGTTCATCCATTATTGTTTTGCATTGTGCCGCCATGGTGTAAATCAACAAAAAAACAATTATTAGGAATGATCAGCATTACAAGATATTGTTTGAAATGATTTTGTTGTTGATTTTCACTCGATTATACATTTGAATCAATTCATTGAAAAAAACTCAGTTATCACCATGTGCATACCTTTAAGTGATATATCAAACTCAAATGTTTGAAATCAAACATACGTTTTTATTTATACTAACATAGTCCCAATTGTGTCATTGTTGAACATCTCATTATAATTCATCATGTCCAATGATGAAATAACATATGAAGTGATAAAAGAATACTGCAAAATAGTTTGAATGCGTTTCCGTTCATGAAATATACATAAGGTATATTTTAAAATTACAGGTATCACAGCCAAACTAAAGCAAATCGAGGATGCGGTAAGTTTACAAATATATTATTTTAAGTTTAGATTCAAAATACCAATCATAAAAAAGGTTTTAATTATATCCAAAACCAAACAAATCCATTCATAGGAATTTACTTATCAAAATTAAAATATACCTAAGAGCTAACGCCATGAAAATTAAAACAAAAATTTTAGTGGTGTTGTTACATATATTCAACGGTTATTGCTACGACAACAATTCCCCTTTTATCTAATCAGAATCTAATCAGAAACAAACATTAATTCCCTGGAGTTTTCATAGATGGAAAATTAAATTGGAAGAACATTCAATATCACTAAGAAAAAAAAGAAACAAGATAGCCTCAATCATGATTCTAAACTTAAAATAACCATATCGATTCTTTGAAATTACCTCTTGTATTTTAATGGTAAACACTGTTACGCGGTTTATGCCATACATTCATGATTGTGCGGTATTTGTGATACGGGTAAATATGCCATACTCTCCTGCGGTATATGGCATAATCCACAGGTGAGTACGGCATATTCCGCAGTGAATATGCGATACATTGATTTTAGTGAATACCCGATACTAGTTTAGTTTAGTTTAGTTTAAAATAGTTTATTTTTGTGTCACTGACATTACAATATACATATAAAATACATAATAAAAACAACATTTTGTAACATCACCAGCCGGTGCCGACTTATGAGACACAGTATACATTATATCTGAGTGTCACCCATTACTACCCCCAATGGGCAGCTTGGGTCAACACTCATAAAGACAGAGACAAAAATGTCCCTGGTAAAAATGTATACATGATTAATAACCAATGATATAAATTCAGTCTGATTAATCAGTTTGGCATAAATAAATAAGCAGTTCATGGAATGATATTGTCAATCATTATATTAAATACATATATTGCACTAAATGAGAGTAGCATGTTGCATATGGTCAAAAATTACAATAAATACAAATATCGCACTAAATGTGAATTGTATCATGCATATGGTCGAAGACTGTTATAACAATAAATTCATATATTGCACTTAATGTAAGTAGCATGTTGCACTATGGTCAAATATTACAATAAATATAAACATTGCACTAAATGTGAAATACACAATGCATCGGTTGAAGACAAATATTACAATAAATACATGTATTGCACTAAATGTGAGATGCATATTGCATGATAAATACATATATTGCACTAAATGTAAGTAGTATATTGCATATGGTCAAATATTACAATTAATATGAATATTGCACTAAATGTGAAATACATAGTGCATATGTTTGAAGACAAATATTACAATAAATGCATATATTGCACTAAATGTGAGATGCATATTGAGTAATAAATACATATATTGCACTAAATGTGATTTGCATGAGCAGTGAATAAATAAAAAAGAACCCCATAGATAATATACACCTCTGCAGTAGTGAATTGAGACCATCTTCCCCAAGGTTGATAGCTCGAAGCACTAAAAAGAGGCATCATAAAACCAAGGAGTTTCTGACTAGATACATTTTAAATAAATATTTTATAAAGGGAACTTAGGTGACATGCATACTCATTTAGTGATTATAGCCTATCAATATTAAGAGATCTCTTATTGCACATATTATAAACTAAAGCTCCTAATGGTCTTTGGAGTGAAGTACAATTCATAATGGAGACAAAAAGAAGTGTAGAATTGGCTGATGTTACATCTAAATAAGGCAATTTCTTTTTAACATTTTCATAAAAATAACATCTTAGATCATCATAATGGCTACATTCTAATAAGAAATGCTTTTCATCTTCAATACAATTCATGTCACATAATAAGCATTTCCTTTCGTGTAATGGTATACCTGTGTAGCGCCCTGTTTCAATTGCTAAGGGTAAAGTACCAGTTCTGAATCTAGCGAGTGACCTACGGTGATGCTTTGGTAGGGCCAAATACCCTTCCTTGCAAACACCATATTTGTACAGTCTATATTGCCTCAATTTATTGCCATTAATTTCATTATTTCTATCATCCCATATGTTATGGATAAATTTATCAGAATTTCGAAGAGAGTTAGTAAACTGTTTTAAAATGTCCTTGGTATGACCAGTGAAATTTATATTACATGTATTTAACATTGAATTAACTTTAAAGTCCCAACTGCTTTTCCGTTTAATGGACCATTCATGTATTTTAAAATTCAGCCTATTCTGATTCATGGACTTCAGTTTAATGAACAATCTAGCACATTCCACCTTTTGTTTTAAATGTGGAGTGTCCCATCCGAGATCTCCTCTAACAGCCTCATTACTAGTGCGTTTGTTTACACCTAGAAAGAACTTGCCAGCTTTATTTTGAACATTGTTCAGGCATTGATGTTGGTTGAGGCCAAATATAGATGAGCCATAGTTTAGTATAGGCTGGACTAAAGAGTCATATAGCTTGTTGTAAACTGCGAACTCCATACCCCCAGTTTGCTTGTATTTGCTGATAATTACACTCAGGGCTCTATTTGCCGATTTTGCAATTTCTCTGGCAGAGTGTGTTGAGTCCACATGCTCTTGGAGCCAGATCCCCAGATATTTATAAGTGTCTGTATAATCCAGATCAAAGTCCCCACATTTAAAAGCAAAGTCTGACCTAGGATGTGATTTTGGGCGATAATGCACTATTTTAGATTTTCGAGGGTTAATTAGAAGTCTCCATTTGCGGCACCATTCATGTAGAGTGTTTAACATCTGTTGTAAGTTATCAGCTGAGCTTGCAATAAGCGCTATGTCATCAGCATAAAGAAGGATGCCTATGTTCTCGTCCTCCATTTGTATTCCACATTGTAGACTGTTAATGTCGGACACTAGATCATTCCCATACACTGAAAATAATGTCGGGGATAGCAGACAGCCTTCCCGGCAGCCATTGCTTACGTTTACATTTGGAGATAGTAGGCCATTTATGCGAATGTTACATGTCACATCTTCATATAGGGATTGAACTGCTTTAAAGATTTTGCCTTTGATGCCAATCTTATTGAGTTTATACCATAGGCAGTCTCGATTAACACTCGAGAATGCCTTAGTTGCGTCAATGTAGCAAATAAAAGTATCAAGCTTAGAAAGTTTCCTATTATTGATGATTGAGTATACACTGTGAACTTGTTCTTGACAACCACGTCCCTTGCGAAAGCCCCCTTGTTCATCATGAATAAGGTTATTGTCCTCAAGGAATTGAGTTAGGCGCTTGTTCAAAATATCAGTGTAGACCTTGCAAGGCACAGATATTAATGTAATGGCACGATAGTTCAGAGGATTACATGGGTCTCCATCTTTATATATTGGGTGTATAATACCCTCCATCCACTGACTTGGCACAGTGCCAGAGTTAAAACAGAGTACCATAATTCTGTGTAACATGGTTATACAAAGTGGATTTTTCAAAGCCTCGGCTGGTATAGAGTCAATTCCTACAGCTTTACGAACTTTGGCCCTACCGACTGCCTCTACAACCTCTTTAAATGAAATATCTTTATTTATGTCTAAATTATTGTCAGTAGCATTACCTTCTATATTGGCTACTTGTTGTTTTATATATTTTAAGTGATCAGAGTCAAACATAGGATTATTCTGAGCGGATGAATATAATTTTTCATATGTGTCAGCCCAGTGGTTCAGAACTAGCTGTTTATCATACACCAATTCACCAGATTGATTTTTCATTGTCCACGGAACATCTTTGGTACGCTCGTTGGCTATTCCTATTTTCCCTATGTATTTCCAAAAGTCCTGTGAACTGGATGATTTGTACAGATCAAATAGATGGTCTTGTTCTTGCTTCTGATATCTGCGCTTAGCTTTCCTTAGACTCCTATCAAAACAACGCCTTTCAATACAATAAGTTGCTTTGAGACATTGTCTTTTCGCTGTATCTTTGCATTGTATCCATATTTGTTCAGCTTTTTGAACCTTATCCCATAATGATTGAAGCTCAGCACTCCAATAAGGTTTTCTACATGATTTAGAACGTTTGTGGGTTGGATTGGTTTGCTGGGGTATAGGTTCACATAAACGGTCCATTTCTGTTGACACTGTTTTAACAAATGTGTCATAAAGAGTTTTTATTTGATTGACAGATACTTCCTCATTTGTTATCCTATCTATTGTTTCCATTATTTGCCGAGAAAGTTCTTCACTTGAAAGGAAATCACCTGTGATTCCATTTGTTTTATATCTTTTAGGTGGCTGTACTAAAGGTGTTTCTGCATCAATCATTTCATCCCAATTGTATACAGATTCAGTGGAATCCTGCAGATATTTCAGAGTGCATGTCAAGATAGAGTGATCGGGAAGTGCTGTAGGGGCAGTGAGATTATAATTGTCAATAATGGTTGTCATCCGATGAACTTTAAAATTTTCATAATTTTCAAGAGATTCCTGTGGACAACACATATAGTCCACCACTGAGCGTCCTTTTTGAGAAATACATGTAAAATCATTGTTTTCCTTGTTATAGCGACCATTTAGAATGCATATGTTGCTATCAGTTAAAAATGTTAGGAAGCTTGATTTGTGACCATTTTCTTGTGTGTCGAGTATATCTCTTTCACGTACATGGTCGATTCCTTCAATGTAGTCAGTATTCATTCCAATCCTAGCATTAAAATCGCCCATTATACAAAGATCATTAGCTGTATTTTGGTAAACATAAAAACTTTCGGTGATTTTTTCAAAGAATTGTTCAGAATCAGTGTCACGTGTAGACTTCGAGACTGGGGGAAGATACCCTGAGCAAAGCACTATATTATAATCCGAGTGTTTCGAATTTAGGCGAATCCAGATTATGTCCTGAGTATTCTGATCAAGGATTTCACAGGTAAATAGCAGTAAAATAGAGTTTTTAACTAAAAATCCAACACCTCCTGATCCTCGTCTGGCTTGTGCAACAGTATTTCGATTATTTCCAAACCATGTGTAATCAGATATATCCAGGTTCTCATTTTTCCGAAGAAAAGTTTCATTGACACTTAAAATATCAATATCCATGTTGGCAATTACTGCTTTTCTAAATTGTGAATTGTCATTTTCATACCGTGAAAAGCCATTAACATTCCATGTGCCTAGGTTAAGTCGACACCGGCCGTCCCCCTATTTGTTGACATTAGGAATGGTGGACTGCAGTTTCTTTTGGAAAACTCCATTTCGCAATACAAATTGGTTTTCTTTTCCAGCAGCAGATAATACTGTTCTCATATTATAGTTCATTTTACGTAATTCCTGGGTTTGGAAGTCCTCGAGGTAGACTTTTGCATATTTAGCACTGTTTTTAAGGGATTTTTTATTTTTCATGATTCTATGTTTATCTTGTTTACACACTTTTGCAACCACCTGCGGAGTTTGTCATACTCACCTGCGGAATATGCCCAGGTGAAAACGTGATACAGGAGGCCTCGATATGATTGGTTAAGATATTTTCTAAATGTAAAATTACGTTGGATTACAAATATTGTCAGCATTTCGAGTACTAATACATGCATCCTGGATTGATTAGAGTTTTAAAAGAATTTTAAATTCGATTAATTACGATAAGTCATCTCTATATATAACTTTGCATTGAACATATTGTTTTTTCTTAACCCTTGGGTATCCCCCTCCTCTTATAGAGATTGAGTTCTCAGACTAAATGATACTCATACATAAAACTTCAGGACAATGACGTTGATAAATCTAGCAAGGTTTGCAATCGTTGTTGTTTTCCTGCATGTTGTGAAGCCAACCTTTGAACGATATGCACCGCCGGCAGAAGTCTACAACGGAACGTGTAAGGGTAACTACAGGAAATACAGTAAGAAAGACTGCGAAGAATCGTACACTAAATTTAAAAGCAGGACCGCGTATACTGGCAAGTACTTACATATTATGCTAATGCTAATAAATATTGAACATGGACTGCCATACACAACAAACCATGTTGCCCTTTTCAGCATTACATTTTCACTACTTTTGTGATGATATACTGTTTTGATCGGATTTTACGAGTTGCAGTTCTTGCGATGAGTCTCCCTTTTTAAGTTTAGGGTTGAAATATTGTCAATTGTTTCAATCAATTCATTGTCATCGCTATCTTGGATTTTGCTTTGATTAATGTTCATTGAGTTCTAGAGTTGATTGTCTTATGTACTGTATAGCCATTGTTGCAGTCATTTTGGGGATAGACACATGTTAAAATTCATATTTATTTTTGATGTTTCTCTCAAAATCAAAATCCATTATAAACACACTTTATGCAGGATTGGATATTCAGCAACACACCTGGCAATGTGATAACATGTTTAAATGGTCGGCCACCGCGGCAAATAAGACAGGTGGTGGGACAGGATTTACAGAATCTCAGAAAGATTGGCTTAAAGGACTTCTAGATCATTTGACCGAATCATTAAACGTGAGTTGTTAGTGTTAGCTTTGCAGAATTGCGCCAGATTCAGAACTGGTCGTAAACATGAATGGGAAAGCTTCTCGGGTAATCTCATTACGTCCCCATTGAACATTGATACCAGTCCAATGGAGTCTTATTTAGTCATATTATGCACCCTTATGTTCTTCGGTGAATTGTATGGAAGGAACATCTTTCTTACAATATATTGTCAACATCTTTTTGTTTGATATAAAGCCCTCGAAGAAAAGAAGTGTTCACGGGTTCCCAATCGGCACAAGGAAAGAGTATCGCGTGGCATCATATACTGAGCGGATGAAATTTCACCGAGCTATCAACATGCTAAAGAACGATCCGATTGATGGGCCGTTTAATACTACCAACAAATACGACACATTAGTGTCATTTCACCATGGAGCCGTTGCAATTGGGGCGCATGGGGGTGCGGCGTTTCCACCTTGGCACAGGGTTTTCTTGCTTATGTATGTCAAATGATTATGTACATGGTTTGCTGTTTATATTTCAGTATGAAATGATATTTTAAAACCATTCCAAAATGGATGGGATATAAGGAATTCCGAAAGATTGAAAAATATGGGTAAAAGTTAAAATTTGATCAGAATGGCTACATGTATATGCAAACAACTATTAATTTTACAAAATGAACATTGCAGGTTTGAAATTGCATTGAAGCAACACATACCAGGAGTGTCGTTACTATTTTGGGATTCAACCATTGAACAAGGTATACCAACTCCTCATTTGTCCAGTATTTGGGGTCCTACTTTCCTTGGAAATGGAGATGGTAACGTAACAACGGGACCCTTTGCTAATTGGGATGCAACGGATGGTAGAAAACTTACACGTGCCGTGCAAAACTTTCCGCATCAGCTCACAACACCAGCTGATATACAGGCGATTTTGAATAAAACTAGGTACGAGGAGATAGCCTGTGGTTCATTTGAATGTATGCTGTTTGAGGAAGTACATAATAAGGCCCATAACTATATATTTGGACAAATGGGGGATCTTTTTTTCTCGCCTAATGATCCCACTTTCTGGTTACATCACGCCTTCTTTGATTGCTTATGGGAAGAGTTTAGACAGAATAGCCAGGTAACGAATATTAGTACTGAATACCCGAGTAACTTTGGCCAACCTCCACATCATCCTCAAGCGCTGATGCAGCCATTTAGCGACTGGGTCTCGCCAATACGCAACATTGAAGGATTGAGCACGCTCATTGCGTCAACGTATTATACATGTGACAAACGTCCAGCTTGTCCTCATTGTGGCAATTCGGCATATTTGTATTGTGATACAAAAGACAACCGCTGTAAGCCATTCCTAAGTTCAAATAGCAGTGGGGAAGGAACTTCTTTCATTCCCGCGGTAATATACTGCGACAAACCCATACGTGGTAACAAAAATTATGGGGTGAACGGAGTCTATCTCGAGACGTATGGTGTCAGTTATAAAGGAAGAGACCAGGCCTACTACTTTGGTGATTATTACAATTATCATAATATACCACGATCTTCTGGCTCATATCGACCAAAGTATGCTGGTTATTTTCCAACTCGTCGCCCAAAAGCAGGAGAACGTGAACGATACAAACCTGTTGCATATACAGGAGATGGACGTCCATGCAAAGTAGAATGCTTCAAAAGAGAAATAGTTGGGATTTCAATATACGGTCCTTGTCCATCAAGCATCTACATAAACGGTACACCTTTTGTTGCATATTCTAAAACGCTGCCCTTTAAACAATTAGCAAATAACTGTATGTGATAAATTAACTTACATTTAAAATTCCATTTAAGGTAACATACGCGTTTTCAACTGACGGATAAGAGTACTCCTTTACGATCAACTCATTTGAAAAGTAGCTGCCCTTCCATTAACACTCGCATAATGGTATTCAATGTCATCATAATTTAGATCGTGGTGCAAGGTCATCTAAACGGGAAACATGGGCAAAGAAGCGACAAGCAGGTGTCTTAGCTCCTTTTATAGATGCAATTGGGAAAATATACGCATCATTTAAGTCATCCTCTTTTGGCCTCTCAGGCCGGCGTCCTGCTGAGTACTTCCGGGTCAAATGTCCATGTGAAGTTCAACAATATACATACTGCCCAACTTATATACCATCTGGAAAAGGTAAGTTTATTCGAATTACAAATAAAGCCATGGTAACATCTATGGTGGTGAAGAAATGTTTGCCCATAGTGATATACATTCGGCTTGATTAAAGAGTACATTTCCAACTTTAAATTACCAAGTAAACAAATTCTAATACATTGATGAATACATATAATTAAGATGCTTTATGTCTTAATTTGTCTTAATACCGCAAACTGGGAAATGAAAGTCTGATCTTTTTTAACTATATTGTGATACTAGGCTGCAAATGGAGTCCATGGCAAACTTGGGAGTACACACAGTGTTCAGTGTCATGTGGAACTGGTACAAGGACTAAATCACACACTAGGACTAAACGATATAGCAGTGAATATACAGGCAACTGTGACGGTAGCTCAGAAGAGAGTTTTACTGAAAGCTGTTCAGACAAACCTTGTGTTGGTTAGTCAGTCCTAACCCTAACTTTTATGTACTAAAACGTCACCTACAACGTTTGAAATACGAAGCACAACTCACAAAATACATCCTCTATAACCTTTTCATTTGTCGTTGAATCACTCAGAAAAATTACGATTCCTATTAAATAAAAGGATTGGTCAAATGCCCATTTGAATCTCAACAATATACATACTGCCCAACTTATATACCATCTGGTAAAGGTAAGTTTATTCGAATTACAAATAAAGCAAAAGTAAAATCCATGGTGATGAAAAAATATTTGCCCATACTGATATACATTCGGCTTGATTAAAGAGTATACATCCAACTTTAAATTGCCAAGTAAACAGATTCTGATACATTAATGAATACTTTTAATTAAGATGCTTTATGTCTTAATTTGTCTGAATACCGCAAACTTGGTATTGAAAGTCTGATCTTTTTTAACAATATTGTGATATTAGGCTGCAAATGGAGTCCATGGCAAACTTGGGAGTACACACAGTGTTCAGTGTTATGTGGAACTGGTACAAGGACTAAATCACACACTAGGACTAAACTTTATAGCAGTGAATATACAGGCAGCTGTGACGGTAGCTCAGAAGAGAGTTTTACTGAAAGCTGTTCAGACAGGCCTTGTGTTGGTAAGTCAGTCCTAACTTTTATGTACTAAAACGTCTCCTACAACGTTTGAAATACGAAGCACAACTCACAAAATACATCCTCTTCAACCTTTTCATTTGTCGTTGAATCACTCAGAAAAATTATGATTTCTATGAAATAAAAGGATTGGTCGTTGTTGGCATTTAACAAGTTTCTTCAATAATTTACGAATGTCAACATCGATGCCATTTATATCCGCGGGTTACTTGCCTTTATTCTTGTAATCAAGGTTGCAGATGGAACCGTTGGAGTTCGTGGAAATACACAGAGTGTTCTGTTACATGTGGGAGTGGTACTAGGACGAAATCACACACCAGGACGGAACGATATAGCAGTGAATATGCGGGCAGCTGTGAGGGTAGCTCAGAAGAGAGTTTTACTGAACATTGTTACGACCAACCATGCGTCGGTTAGTCAGTTTTTTAGTCAGGTTCTTTACCAAAGAAATACTTTAAATGTGTTTCTTAGAACTACTGCGTCACACCTGTGGCTCAATTCGGACTTATTTCCAATTGAAATTGTTTATAGTAACTTTATTATCTATCAATTAATTTTGCATTTCAAAACTGTTTCTGAAATATCTATTTGCATTTTCTATAATTTTTGAACAACCATTTACAAATTAATATTTAATTTCAAGTTTAAACTGCTACAGTTGTATCAATGGCATCGATTTAACCACGTTGATGTGAAGATAACATTGGCCTGACAGTATTAAGTTGCACGGATCTATGAATACAATAATTTAAATAATTCCAAACTATTCAGAGGTGAATACCTGTTCATCTTTCATGCAAAAGGGCGTTCATATAAGATTCAGCGGTAATAGCGTTTTTCGTCTAGTGTACTTCTAAAGTCCACCCGCATTTACATCTTGTTAAAAAGATATGTGTTGATGAGTTATAATCACTCCTGTTCTCATAAGACAATCCGAATAATAGAGTGGTGTATATGTGTTGATGAGT